AAGTGTGGTCACGGGAAGATTGTCTTTGTTGCAGGGGAGGGTATGAAAGAGGTAAGCATTAAATAATATACTTAATGCTCTCCCACATAATCTTCACTGAGGATTGTGTGTCCTCAGTGCCAAATGGAGGGACATTAAAGCTATTTGTTCCCGTCAGATGACCTCTATGCTCTACATAGGAAGCAACATTCGTTGGGGAAGAAATTAACAATACCCACACAAAATGACAGATGGAGCAAGAGGTCTGGGTTGCTGGTGATTCCTGGTTTTCCCTTCACGCCTCTTAGGGCTGAAATGGAATAGAAGGTTGAAACAGTAGTGCTGTGTTTTGGCTTCAGGGCTAGGATTTTCTTTGGTGTACATTGTCATCTTTTTGTACTATTTCATCCTCTGCCTATTCAGTGTCCATTGGACCTGCCCCTCCTTTTTTTTTCAAGACAGGGTCTATATTGCCCAGGTTGATATTGAACTCCTGGGCTTAAGTGATCCTTACACATCAACCTCCGAAGTAGCTGGGACTATAGGTGTGCACCACTGCACCTGGCTGGACCTGCCTTTTCCTGGGGTATAGTTATATAAATCCAGAGACCCAAAATTCATTCATTGTTTTGGCAAACATGGGGAAATCTGCATCTTCAAAACAGCTTTCTGGAGACAATTTAACCCCAAAAGGGCAATAGCAATTTGAGACTTCTTTGGAGGGCTAGTAGAAGCACAATATCTGGGAGCAGGTAGAATCCAATGGCACAAGGAATTCTGACTCATGGTTTCTTTTAACTCTTGGTAAAGGGTGGCGCACTAAACAAGGCCGTCTCTAAAGTGACAAATAGAAGTGAGTCATTGCTGAGGCCACCTGGACTGAAACTGGGCTGCTTACCAGAAAAGATAATATAAAGTACTAAGTGTCCTGGGCCAGGTGCAGTGGCTCACACCTGTAATCCCAGCATTTTGGGAGGCTGATCACGAGGTCAGGAGTTCGAGATCAGCTTGACCAACATGGTGAAATCACATCTCTACAAAGAATACAAAAATTAGCTGGGTGTGGTGGCTTATGCCTGTAATCCCAGTTACTTGGGAGGCTGACGCAGGAGAATCGCTTGAAACTAGGAGGCGGAGGTTGCAGTGAGCCAAGATCAGGCTACTACATTCCAGCCTGGGTGACAGAGCAAGACTTCCCCTCGGGGGGCAGGAGGGGAAGTACCAAGTGTCCATCTGTGATGTCATCTTGAGGGGTCCAACCATATGTGGTTAATATAAATTCTTGTGGGGCAATTCATTGGCATGCAAATGCTTATCCTTAAATATATTCAAAGATTACATCATTTGTTTTGAACTTGGGGAAGCAATTTCATCTGTTTCTTAATTGGTGAAATGACTATATTATCACTTATCTAATAGGCTGGGTGGGCTAAATAGGATCAAGTGTTTAGTATATACGGGGTTCACAGTCAGCTCCAATCTGCAGCCTATTCTGTTTGTGCACTGACAGAGACAAACATGAATGACCCTCACTCCTGGCTACATTTTATGTCCTCACTATTACTTTTCTCTCTCTCAACTATTTCTCATTTTGGGACATCATTAGCAATAATTTACATATCATTTTTTAAGCTGGATTTAATGTTTTTGGATAGAGTGTAATGTAAAAGAAAATACCTCACACCAGAATAGTATAGTTTGGTATTTAAAAATTCTAAAATATTTAATAATTAATATTGATGGGAAGACTGATATACAATGCAATTACTTATTTTACAAGATTCTGTACATCAGGGGGCATCTTGAAGTACAATACACCAGGTTTTCATTTCTTCTTTACATTATGATTGTGAGTTTCCATGTAAGTTGGTACATGGAAAGGGAACACAAAATCCATTTTTATATACATAAAAACAAAAGAAACACCCAAATAGACTTGACCACCCAAATGTCTTGTTGCATTTGAAAAGAACATGAATGAGAAGAAAGATGAACCAGATTACTTGGTGACACACAGAAGGCGAACAAGTAGCTCAGGATATCAAATCCCGTTTCAAGCTTGGCACATCAAGGGTAAGAAAGGTAGTGAAAGAAGGGTTTGAAAATGTTATCTCAAGCCACAAAAAATGCTGGCAGAAGACGGTCTCCAAACCAGTAAGATAGAATGGTTAGAAGTCAAGTTAGCAGTTATTGTGTGGCTACCTTATATCCAGACCTCTAACAGACTGAGTGGAATTGTCACGTATTTTCCATCCCAAGTGTTAGTAAACTTCAAGGAGGCTGAGCACAATGGCTCACACTTGCAATCTCAGAACTTTGGGAGGCAAAGACAGATCCCTTGAGCCCAGGAGTTCAAGACCAACCTGGGAAATATGGGGAAACCTTGTCTCTAAAAAAAAGATACAAAAATTAGCTGGGTGTAGTCTTAGCTACTTAGACTGAAGTGGGAGGATCGCTTGAGTCCAGGAGGTAGTGGTTACTGTGAGCCAGGATTGTGCCACTGCATTCCAGCACGGGTAACAGAGACCCTATCTCCAAAAATAAAACGAAACATATCAAAAAACTTCAAGGAGATAGGGACCCAGTATTATTTCTTTTCTTTTTTTTTGAGATGGAGTCTTGCTCTGTCACCCAGGCTGGAGTGCAGTGGGGCAATCTTGGCTCACTGCAACCTTTATCTCCCCGGTTCAAGCGATTCTCTAGTCTCAGCCTCTTGAGTAGCTGGGATTACAGGCACGCGCCACCATGCCCTGCTAATTTTTGTATTTTTAGTAGAGACGGGGTTTCATCATGTTGGTCAGGCTGGTCTCGAACTCCTGACTTCAGGTGATCCGCCTGCCTCAGCCTCCCAAAGTGCTGTGATTACAGGCATGAGCCACCGTGCCTGGCCTAGGTTTTGTTTTGAACTGATACTCTGATTCTTCAGCAAGTCTTCTTATGTGGGTATGAAAGGATGAAAATCTACTGAAAGATTACATACAGAACAAATAACAGGGACCCACGGAATAAATCAGAAGAAATCTATGAAGTGGCCACAACTTCTTGAACATTAAAGTGAAGGAAAAAAAGCCATATTCATCAGATTAAACAGAAACTATTAATATTTTTTTCTTCCATTTATAGTGTGGATAGGAATTAAAGTGAAATAGACTGTATGTTTTCAAAACAAATTCAAAGAAAGCAACAAAATCTTCTGTTTTAGGAAATCGTATTAATCTCTATTACAAATACAGAAAGCAGGGGGCCTGAGTCAATGCCCCAGCACCAATGATACTGCTACAGTGTGGAAGAGGAGGGGCGGGTGAGATGGAAGCTGCCAGAGAGAGTCAGCAGGAGGATCAGCTCTGGAGTGAAGAGGAAGCGCGCAGCAGGAGAAGGCAAAGAGCATGGAGAAGAGGGGCGCAGTGGGCCACGATCATGCCCTCCTGGCTTCTCCAGACACCCTTTCCTATGCAGCACCCCATACCCAGCCGGACCTTACTGTGATTCTGGCTGGAAACATGGGGACCAACAGCTCATAAATGCTCTCACAGAGTTGATACAACTCTGCTTTAAGGAGGAGAATACATTTATTGGTCAAAGCAATTTAGAGAATAACATTTGGTAAATAAAACTACAATAACCTAAAAATGTTAGCCACAGTTTTTTGCCACATTGGCATTAAGGCTTTTTTTTTTCTGAGACAGAGTCTTGCTCTGTCACCCAGACTGGAGTGCAGTGGCATGATCGGCTCATTGCAACCTCCACTTCCCAGGTTCAAGCAATTCTCCTGCCTCAGCAGCCCCAGTAGCTGGGACTACAGGCACAAGCCACCATGCCCGGCAAATTTTTGTATTTTTTAGTAGAGACAGCGTTTCCCCATGTTGGCCAGGCTGGTCTTGAACTCCAGACCTCAGGTGATCCACCCTCCTCAGCCTCCCAAAGTGCTGAGATTATAGGTGTGAGCACCACCGCACCTGAGTTTTTTTTTTTTTTTTTTTTTTGCAAGGAAGCAATAAAGGGATTTATTGAAAATGAAAGTACACTCCACAGTGTGAGAGTGGGCCTGAGCACAGGAGCCCAAAGGCCTTTCTTATTTTTGTATATAAAAAATATACATGCTTTCTCATCTAACCAATTTTTTTTTTTTTTTTAAAGTCAGAGTCTCACTTTGTTGTCCAGGCTGGAGTGCAGTGGCATGAACTTGGCTCACTGCACCTTCCACGTCCTGGGTTCAAGCGATTTTCATGCCTCAGGCAGGTGCTACCACGCCTGGCTAATTTTTGTATTTTTAGTAGAGATGGGGTTTCACCATGTCGGCCAGGCTGGTCTTGAACTCCTGACCTCAGGTGATCTGCCCAACCTGGCCTCCCAAAGTGCTGGGATTACAGGCATGAGCCACCATGCCCAGCCTCATATAACCAATTTGGATTCTTGTTGCAGTTCAGGAAAACATAAGTTCCCATTACTTCCAGATTATTTTAAAATAAAAATCACAATGACTTGCGAGGAAAAGGAAGAACATGTCAGATCCTGAGCTTCCTCTCAGGCTTGAGTGCCTCAAGAGGACTGTATTGCCGTGTTACGAGAGGTACAGTGCAGTGCTTTCATCTGATATGCCAGTGTGGTAAGAAGTCCCTGGAGGTAGAGACTCTTTTACCAGAAGGTTGGGGGCCTCCAGAATGTTTTCCCCACTAGGAATTGGATTTGATAGCTGGAATTTACAGCCTACACATTTGGGTCTCACCATCAGGGTAGGGCAGGTAAGGCTAATGGTACAAACTGTGCCTCAGCATAAGAAGTCACCTAGGGGAAGGGGTGTGGTACAGAAGTCATCTAGGGGAAGGGGTGTGGTACAGCCAGTAAAACCTGGAACCTGCAAGCGGTCCAGAACTTTGGTGGCCAGTAAGGAAAAAAAAACCCTCAAGTATGCTACAATATTGAAAGGTTCAAAAGCACTGAGAAAGTGTTGTTTTGCCCCAGGTGCAGCCCATGAGAATCTGTTCCAGTGAAATGCTACATTCAAAGAAGTGCTGTCCACCCCAGAAGATCCCAGAGGACGCAATTCTGGCTGTGCTGGGAAGTGCTAAAGTTCCCTTCATATGTCACTCTGGAGAAGGAGCAGCAAAGCAGCCATGTTGAGTTCCTCTCTCAACATTTGGCATCATGGACGATGGTAGCTAAAAGAAAAAAAAAAAAAGACAAGTTACCACATGATGTACATTGCTTGCTATTAATATACCAGTAGTAATGAAATGTTATATCCTAATTAATACTGCCTCTCTCTTCTGCTCGAATTCTAGCTGACCTTTCTGTTGCATCTGATACTCCTCAACTGCTTCCTTCTTTCTTGAAACTCTTGGCTTCTGTAACAATATTTTTGCCATAGTTTTCTTTCTTCTTCAATTGATCTTCTGTATGCTGTCCTGGTTCATTTTCCTCTGTCCACCCTTTAAATAGAAAACAACTTCCTGGCCAGGCGCCGTGGCTCACACCTGTAATCCCAGCACTTTGGGAGGCCAAGGTGGGCAGATCACGAAGTCAAGAGATCGAGAACATCCTGGCCAACATGGTGAAACCCCATCTCTACTAAAAATACAAAAATTAGCTGGGCATGGTGACACACGCCTGTAGTCCCAGCTACTTGGTAGGCTGAGGCAGGAGAATCCCTTGAACCCAGGAGGCGGAGGTTACAGTGAGCCGAGATCACAGCACTGCACTCCAACCTGGCAATAGAGTGAGACTGTCAAAAAAACAAAAACAAAACAACAAAACTTCAAGGACTC